TCTCTAAAATGTTCTCTTGTCTCCAGCTCTTTTCGTCATAAGAATACAGCCTAATGTGGGATGTGCGTGTTAACCCTTCATGTGGTCGATAATAATGCTTCCGGTCAATAGTAGGCTATTACTAATCAAGTTTTGGGGGGAGTCCAGAGTTAACATGTGGATTTTTAACTGAACTCCAGGGGTGAGCACCCCAACCCTCAGGTTGCTCAACATCTGTATTTGTCTGAAGTTGTACAAGAGGAAACTGTGTTAAGCATTTAAATCTTTTTTTAATGGAACGTTGTGGGAACTAAGGGGATTCCCCTCAATTTGAAAGAGCGGGGGAAGGGCAGAGAGAGAGAATCCCAAGCAGACTCCGCTGTGTCAGCACAGAGCCCAACTCGGGGCTTGAACTCACAAACAGATCATGACCTGAGCCAAAATCACGAGTCGGATGCTTAAGTGAGCCACCCAGGCACCCATGTTTGAGTTTTTAAAACTTTGGGCATTTTTCCTTGTCGTAAGCATTTTGTGGAAACCGGTGGCGCCGAATCTTTATTGATATGTGTAGTTTACGTGATTGTTCTTGAAAGCTGTTTCTGGTGTTTCATTGGCCTCGGTGAGCGTGTAAGTTACATTTATTAGAAGAACAGGTTGTGTTTAAGTAATTTTATTTTTTATTGCTGGGCTCAGATTTAATGAAATGGCAAAGTGGGAAAAGTTTTGAAGGATATGAGCTTTAGAATTTATTTTAAACCCATTCAGATTTGATTGTGTCACTTACCTTTTGCCTTGAGCACTGCCTGTCACCTGGCAGTCTTCGTGTGCCCACCTGCCCCCATGTCGTCTGCCGCCTCGTGCTCCGTGTGTGGCCCTTTTTGGCTTTACAGAAGGGTGTGTGGGTTACAAGACGTACGTGGGTTGTCTCTGGACCTTCGGGTGGACTTTGGGTGTGGGGAACCGTGGCTCCCGCCTTCTCTCGGGGGCCCCCGGCCGCAGGCGGTGTGGGCACTTGTGTGCTGGCGCGGAAGTCGTGTCACACTGATCTTTTACAAGGGGTGTGGTACGTGTGCGGCGATCCCCTTGCTGGGTGCACGTAAAAGCAACGCACAGGAGTTTGTCGCCTGGCAGCGAAGGGAGCTCTGGGGGCTCAGCTGAGCTCGGCGGGCGGCTTCTCCTGACAGGAGTGAGGTTTGGCATTTCGCACTT